CAGGGCTTATAGTTTTAAATCGAGACCTCTAATTTCCAGCTTCAGCCATTTCCAGCTTCAGCCGCGACAATTATTAATATACAAGCTGGTCGAGCCGTTTTGCATCTCTAATGTTATGTCCAAAGACACCGTCCTAAAATTAGTCATCAAAACACTTGCGATTTATTACGCGTACGAACTATTACTAGACGATCGAATTTTACTCAAGATAATTCTGTTTAATGATTCAGTTAAAGCATTCGGTTTGTTTGGAATATAATTTATCAAAAGAAGTTTCTAGACTCAAATTCAGATATTAAAGATATAATAAATCAAATTCGTGATTAGTTAATTAAAAAACTAAAACCGTTATCATAACCCGGTAGTAGTTTTTTTTTTTTTTTTTTAGAAATAAAAAAAACCCTATAAAATTTTATTAGAATTTAAAAGCCAGATGGATGGGTTACTTTATAAAATTCATGTTGCGAGAAACAAATAGTTAACCTTTATAAATATAAGAGTTTAGAAACATTAGTAACAATTAATGAACATTCTAATTTTCATGTATATCTAAATTTCTAAAATTAAACAATAAATATCATAATAAGATTTTTTTGAAACTTGTTATATAATATAATAGCAAAAGTTAAAAAGTAATTATAATGAGTACCCAGTGCAATATAAAATACAATATATTACAATATTTGACAATGTCTCTACATTTGGATGTTAAGAAGAAAATATAAAGTTTTATAGTTTTATAAATGATATAGTAAATTTTATACTCGCCAATATGCTTGAACAATTAAAGGATAATGAATATCAGGAACATAATGCACAGAATTTTCAGTTATACTTTGTTGATGAACTTCCCACACACAGTCATCATATCTTTCTAACAATTTAACGTGAAAATCACCTTGAGCTTCTAATAAAGAGATAAATTCTTGTAAGCTACCACCACGTTGTGGTGCACAGAGAAGAAATAAACTTCCGTCCGGATTATCTTTCGATGGTTTTTTTAGGATAGAGCGTATAACATGCAATAGATGCAAATGAATTTGTTTGTCAAAAGTACTAAATATTTAAGAGAGTTAGGATTAAATAATCAAATAATAAAATTTCACAAGGAATCAATCATGAAAAAAGGAATTACCAATCTGCACATAAAACAACGTCGTACGTTTTATCATAATGAGTATTACAGTTCCAAATCATTTGCATGGCACATAAATTTGCTGAAGACAGCTTAGAGTTGGCTTTTAAAATATGTTGGATATGTAAATATTAATTAAGGTATATATAATGTATATTGGCTATTAAAATTAATAAATACAATATCTACATAAGAAAAGGATATTTTGTACACAATCAGGGTTACCATCTGTTAAGGTAACACTTGATGGTTGACACTTTGTGGCAACGAATAAACCTGCTAATGCGCACATGCCGCCACCTATTTCACACACATTTTTGTTTCTTAATAAAATTAAATCTAATTATTACTTGTCAATACTTTGTAAAATTATAAAACTTGGGCATAAAATTCATACCTAAAAAGATGTGAATTATTTATAGAATAATAAGCCAAAACTTCTTCAGCAGGCCAAACACAGATATTACCAGTATATAAAAACCCTGAATATTTAGAATAAAGACTGCTCTTCATATCACAATAATAAGGAAATTTTATTCTATTAAAAAGAAGAGGTTGAATAATGGTTGAAAATAATTTTTAAATGGTATAAAAATTTCATGCAGTAGAAATTATTTTTACCTAACGTTTATATAATCATTACCACCTAAATCATAAGAATACCATTCATAATGGTCCTTTTGAGTATGCTTATCTTTATCAGTGTAGATTTCGGAATTTGTCAAGGTTTTCTCCAAAGTAACATCAATGACTTTTTTGTTTACATCATCTAACGATAAAGGAGATTGATCAAGTTTTGTTTTCGGAAACAGGTCAAATCCCTGATGATTTCTCTTAGAGAATTTGTTGAGAGTCACTAAAGAATCCGCATTAAGAGAAGAAATTACAGAGGAAAGTAATTTCCATCGGGCTTTTGCAGGAGTAGTAGAGTTGTTATCATCAACAATTTTAATGTTATGTGACATTGTTTGACAATTCGGATAATCTTGATATTTTTTATCCCTTTTGCCGTGTCGATTATCACGTGAAATGCTACTAGATCTAGATTTTCAATATGTGCAATTTTTAAAAAGTTAAAATTTCATTTCAAATCAATTTTGATATATACTTTTTATGAATTACAAGTAATACCGTACGAACTATTGAAAACATTCTAATTAAATAACAAACTCGAGAATTCCAAAGATAGCATAAGCATTAACTTTCAAATAAACTAAATTAACTTGATCACCTTTCCCACATTGTTTATTTATCATTTGTAGTTTGATTATTTAAAAATTTCCACTTTTCGCAAATAAAAATAATTTCAAATAAATAATAAATGATTTTATACCACAGTTTCTCAAAACGTAACACCAAGGGTTTTGAGAATTAGTTCATTAGGAAACTCTAGCGACATTTCTCTAGAATATTTTACTATAACAGTGATAGAGAAATAGAATGATAAAAAAGTTGTAAAATAGTATAAATTTTTAATATGAAGCAACTTAATGAGAGTTTGTGTAATCATCAAGCCGATAACGTAGTTGTATCAATTGTTAAAAGGAGCGGTTGAATTGAAAAGTTGGGTCAATTGTTAAAGGGAGCGGTTGAATTGAAATTGATACCGATACAGTAAAAGCATCCAATTTATATGATAGAGCACAAATTTTTATTGGCTAATTTAAATTGTTGTGTAATTGATTCTGATTAGTTAATTAAACATATATCTACAAAAATCTATCAATTAATAAGATTTTTGGTTTTAGTTATTATGATTTAAACTTTTGTAAGTGATTTCTGCTGGTACTGTACATATGAGGGTCAAGGATTTAAGTGTTCGGATAATTGAATAGTGTACGTACATATTTGGTTTTAAACGATCTCTCGTTAGCGTTAGGTATAAAAGCATCAGATTTAAGAGGTTTTACCATATGGGATACAGTATGGGACATCAAGTCCTAACAACTTTTAAATAAAAGCGACCAAATTTTAATCTGTGACACAAAAAATAAGGATATTGGCTAAAATGCTTTTTCAATTAAATTAAATTTGAATTACTAGTTGATTGTTTTTGAAAAAGTTAATATGCTGTCCCGTACTGTAAATTATTTATTTTTTAGATTAAACGCTGCGTATTAAATGACTTTGCTGAAATTCAGAATATCTCGTTTCGCAAGACGAGATTATCTGAAATTGAGTTTATTACAAAAATTGAAGTTTGGATCTCATGTACCGAAAAAATATATTATCCATGTTCCACTAAGCTTACTTACACTTGATAGATCAATAGTCCAATAAAAATAACTATTAGCGATATTGGTTATCATTTTTGTAGACAGGTAAAAAAAATATATAATAGATTCCGAAACCCGAAGTGATTCCACTAAGATATATATTTTGCATGCCTAAGATAATTTAGAAAGATATATTTTACAATTAAAAACTACATTCCCACTCATCTTGCAAAGGTTTCTCTTCTGGTTGATTGTACCCATTCTACCACATCTGTTTGATTAGCTATAAATTCATTTTCCGAACTTTCTTCGCTGGCAAACCATTTATTGTACCATTTCATATCCTCTTTTCTCGGCAAATAATCAAGCATACCAGCACTATACCATAGAATACCAAATAAAACACATAGCCACATACAAACCATGTTTAAAAATCTTATTATACATGCTGAATGCATAAACTTAGGTTGGTAATTGTATGAGGTTGGACAGTAGAATGGAATCTTGTGGATTTCGTCTTGATCTAATGCTGCCATATATATAGTATAAATACCTAATCAATGAATAAAAAGTATTAAGAGAAAATTACTTAAAATGTATAAATAAAATGTTACTTTACAACTTACTAGCGGCAACTATCCACCATATAAAGACGTAACTTTTTGCCATAAAAATAATTAAGTACGTTATTTTTAATACAGTAATAAAATTTGATTGAAATTGTAAATAAATACCATGCGTTATCTTTAAATACGTCTATTAAAACTTTCGGCTTACAACAAAAACATAAGCAGGATACAAAAGTATGACCTCATATTAAAAAATAAAAAACATTTTCACTACATTATGAATTAAACATTTTAAAGTAAATGAATTTAGAAAATCACTTACAAGGTATCCAAAGTGTGCAAGCAAAATAACTATTTTATAAGTTAATAGATATACAATATTAGTATTGTTTTTTATTATATAAAAAAAGATCAATATCGATATTCAAATAATCATAACTTACAAACCCTCGACAATAAATTTTCCTAATTTGGCTTTACCAGGAATGTATTGAGAATATTGAATATTTATAAATTCTAAAATTTCATTATCGTTATCGCTACATACAGTATATATTAAATAAATAAATTATTTGATTATATATAATTCAAAAATAACGAACCTAGGAATGGACAAATTATTAATAAAAACAATAATGGAATTCCCAATATCACTCCAATGACGTGTCTCGAATATCCATGGTCTTTTCCCTCGTCTTTTCCATTGTCTTTTCTATGGTCTTTTACTGGTAGTGGCATCACTTATAATTTTACTAAAAATAATTTTACTTTGATCTTATATTATTTCAGCCTTGTTATAACTAATTTTTATAAATTTCATGAAATTTTTGTTGATAGTTACTTTTTTAACCTAAGAAATTTCGGTTTTTCTTTCAAGAAATGCGAAATAATTTTTTGAACAAACAAAGAGATCTATTCAAATGTTTGTTGGCTTTGCGACTCTAAAAATGCTGTGGCTTGGTGTATTTGTGATAAAACCATTACAATTACATGATGAGCCTTTGCTAAGAATCCACCTCGAATAATTTTTTCCTCAGACACCAACATCTATTATTATATGATCCTCAAATTCCGCATGAGACAGTCCAATAATAGTTCATGATGGGATTCTGCGCATCGCACTAAGTTAGATAATGCCAGTCTAGTGATCCGAATCAACAAAAGTTTTTTAATAAACTTTCGTAAACTAATGTCACATGTTTTTTGATTAATTTTATTGCCAACTACATAATCATATTATTTATTTATATTGATTGGCTGCATTCTCTAACAATAGCATAGTTGTGTGTTTCAAAATAACATCACCTTAGTAATATATTTATAACATTTTAATAATATACTTATATTGCATTGCACGCATTTAATCATTTATTAAATTCTTTATTTTTTATTTTTTTTTGGGTGCACTTTCTTTATGTGTAAACTAAGTT